TACGCTCTACTCTGCTTCTACCTAAAAGCATTGAGAAAGGTACTATATGCAAATTATTGCCTAACAAAAAATTAGGTAGAAGCTTTTAGGTAGAAGCAGAGTAGAGCAGAGTAGAGCGTAAGGAGGAGAAAGATGGTGGTTTCAGAGCTCTATGTACAGGTTTGGGCGTTCAATGACCAGCAAAAACAAATGTGGAAGAAATAATATTTTATTTTTAAACATTTCTTAACCTAAATCTTGGGTTCAGTAAATCACCATTTAGAAGAGGGAGGGGAAGACATATGGAGGGTACTATATGCAAATTAAAAATCGATGTATAAGAGGATATGACTATGCAAACAAAAAATTGCTTGAATAGAAGATTGAAGAAATTTATGTGGTTTAGAGAACATATAGTTGAGCTACATTATCATAAATCTGGAATATCACCAAAAGAGTTAATACATGTGACTAGTGATTTTGAGGTTATGGAAATGATTACTCAGTTGAGTGACTTTAGTAGAGTGAAGAGGGTGATAATTATGCAAAAATGATAGAGAATCCATTATGTTTCGATAAGGCAAAGAGCTGGGGGTCATTACTAATGTATTGGGTAGCAACCTTCCATGATCTTGCTCTACATTTCATGTTGAGTAGGCAGTAACCCGAAATGTGGGCATATCGTCGAGTCAGCGGCCCTAAAATTGGGTGCGTCAGTGGCTCGAAAGGGTGGGAAGCTGAGGAGGTAGCGACCTAACATATGAGTATGTCATAGAGATAGTGACCTGAAAGGGTGGGCATGCCGTGGAGGCAGCGGCCCGACAAATGGGTATGCCGAGGAAATAGTGACTCAAAAGGAAGGGCATGTTGAGGAGGCAGTGACCTGATATATGGGTATGCCAAGATGGCAGAAACTCAAGAACGGGCATGTCGTGGAAGCAACAACCCGACATTTGGGCATGCCCAAGGAGGCAGTGACCCGGGGATGGGCATGCCGTGAAGACAACGACCTGATAGATGAGTATGCCGAGGATGCAGTGATTTTGGGATGGGCATGTTGTGACGACAACGACCTGACAGATGAGTATGTCGAGGAGGCAATGACCCCCAGACGGGCATATCGTACACCTGGGGATGCTCGTGTCGTGGAGTTAGCGACTTAACAAATGGCCATGTTGAAGAGGTAGTGACCCGGGGGATGGGCATGTCGTGGAGGCATCATATCGACAAATGAGTATGTCAGGGAGACAGTGACTCGGGGGACAAGCATACATTGGAGGCAGCGACTCGACAGATGGTTATGTCCAGGAGGCAGTGACCCGAGTGATAGACATACTGTGAAGGCAGAGGCCTGACAAATGGGTGTGCTGAAGAGGCACTGGCCTGAGGATGAGGATGTTATGAAGGAAGTGGCCCGACATATGGGTATGCCAAGGAGGCAGTGACCCGAAAGGATGAGTATGTGAGGGGACACTCAAAGTGCAACTCAGACATAAGATGATGACCATGCAAGATATCATGCAAGACATATGGCACCAGAAATGCTATGTTTGGTCGCCTGGGGTATAGAACGTCACTGGGGAGCACCTTGCCTGAATAATGACCAATCACCATGCAAGCACGCACACATGCAATATGATGCAAAATGCAAGTGGTCGGTTGACCGAACCATTGATGTCGGTCAGATCAAAGAAGCGGGTGGATCGATCTTTGTAGTTGATTAAACCCAAAAGGATGGGCAATTAACCTGGGACGACCGATCAAACACAGAGGATAAGGTAATAGGCCCGGTAAGACCAATAAAACCCAAAGCGGGTGATCGACACATAGTGATCAATCAAACCCAAATTTTAGGGTGATCAGTCTGGGACGACCGATCAAATCCAAGTGGGTGAACGACACCTAGCGGTCGATCAAACTCGAAGATAGGGTGATCGACCCGGGACGATCAATCGAACCCAAGATGGGCGATCTAAATGTAGCGGCTGATGAAACTCAAAGATAGGGTGATCGGCCTGGAACGACAGATCGAACCCAAGACAGGTGTTCGACGCATAGTGATCGATCAAACCCATAAGATAGGGTAATCGACCCTGGACGGCCGATCAGACCAAAAATGATATGGGATCGACCTAGGACGGTCGATGAACCCGAAGATGGGTGATCCACACGTAGCAGTCGATCAAACCCAAAAGATAGGGTGATCGACTTGGGATGGCCAATCGAACCCAAAATGGGTGATCGACACATAGCAGTCGATCAAACCCAGCAGAAAGGGTGATCAACCTGGGAAGATTGATCGAACCCAAAAATAATGATCGATGTGTAGCAGTCAATCAAACCCTGTCGGGACGGCCGACCAAACCTAAGAGGATCAGGGATCGGCCAAGGACAATCAATTGACTTGAAGTGCTCATGCGATCATGCATATGATATGCACCACGATCCACATGCAAAAATGCAACAAATGTCATGCATACACAATACAACCCAAATGCTCGAAAGTATGCTGAACTCGACCTAACAACCACACGTAGGTACCTAGGGTTGACACACTTAGATTTATAGCATAGCTGCCTCTGGCATTGGATTGGCAATGTGAAGGGCTTCCCCCTCTGATTTCTCGTAGGGGAAGTCCTCCACTGTTCATAAGGCGGACTAGCTCCAAAACTTTTTTTGTTCTACAAACGCGCGTGATCTCGCAGGATGGGCTAGCTGTAAAGCTTTTCCCATCTCTCAAGATCACACTCAATAAACTCCTTTAAGAGAGGTTGAGAGCGTCAAAGCCATAGAAAATTAGAATTCCAACCCCGAGGGATTAAGACCTCAGACTCACAAGAGGAATCACTTACCTCCAATAAGGATGGCCAACACATAAGACTCCTAACCTAGAGCTTTCTTTAGGGAAAGCAAGAGTCTATCACAAAGGCAGTGTTGCTGTGCCAATTAACGACAGCTAGCACACACACCCACGTGGGCGACCGAACCACATGCCTAGACTCAACAAACCCTAAAATCGGCTAGGAGTTAGGAAATACACCACCAGGACGGTTGCAGATGCATGTATTCACGTAGGAAGAAGTTATCCTATCAATAAGAGAGAAGCCCACGTTCTAAGGAACTTCAATAGCACTCTGGCGAACTCTGACAGCACTCCAGCGATGCTCCGGTGATCCTTCCTCGAGCTAGGCTGAAGCTTCCTCGAGCTAGGTTGAAACACTCTTCTAACGTAGGAGAGTGGATGTCATGCTCCATGGCTCCTCCTCAAAAAAACCCTCCTACACCCTTGTAAAATGTGGAAGATGAAGAAGATGAGGAGGAAAAAAAAGGGGAGGAGGATGAAGAAGAAGATGGAGGGGAAGAGAATCCCCTCCTCCTTGCTTTCTCTCCAAGGGGCCTCTCCAATGGACCTCCAAGCTCTCCCCATAGCTCTCCCAGAGAGCTTCCCATGCTCCTTCAGCTCGCCTAAGAAGAAGCAGAGGAAGACAGAGAGGGAACATGGCAAAGCTCCCTCCCAGGAAGAAATGAGGCCAGCCCTCGAATGTGGGAGAGAGCGATCAGTTAAGCACGGCTACCCCATCCAAATGACCAATACCCTCTCTAAAAGGGGGCTTTGGATTCTTTTAGAGGAGAGCAAAAGGAGGATTAGCCACCCCTCTTTACTGTCCCGAGACTATCCCTGTGAGTTCGGAGGCTTATGACGTCAAAAAGGCATAAAAAATGACCAAAATCGCGACCTGGGAGGCGAGTGACACCTTGGTGCCAGCCTCCTTGGTTCTTAAGTGCCCGTTTGGGTGCCTAGATGCCACCTGGGTGGCATCTACTTTTTCAGCTCTAAAAAATGGCTATTATTCTCCTATTTTGGGTGCCTAGGAACCTAACATGATTTCCAAGTGCCAAAATCAAGTGTTAAACCTCCTAAAGCTCGAGCTTGATGATCCAAGAAGCCATTTTGTGCTCGTAGGTTCCCGGGGTTGGCGTCGGGTTCCTGATTTAGCCCGAAACCTTAATTTTCACCGGGAGAGCTTGACAGAGGATTTTCTTGATCCGTAAGATATGAGAGACTCTGTATGACTGAAATGTAGTCCTATAACTTTGAATGGAGTATTCCAGTCGGCAATTGCCGGGAAAATCAA